GAGAGAGAGAGAGAGAGAGAGTGTATGTGTGTGTGAGAGAGAGAGAGAAACAGAAAACACGTAGAACTCATTACAGTCGCACCGCAAATCGCGCCGTTCACTGTCGCCGAGGAGCCAGCGAACTGGGGCGATTCCATTTCCGTGGTGTGCGCCATTCTCAAGGGTGACTTACCGATCGAGATCACGTGGGCGTTGAACGGCGAGCTGATTCGGCCGGACCGCTCGGACATTAATATCCTGGCGACGACGCGGAAGAATAGCATTCTCAGCATCGAGTCCGTGGCCGCGAGACACGCAGGGGAATACACGTGTTCGGCGTCGAATAAGGCCGGAGCGACCAGTCATTCAGCGACGTTAGCTGTGAACGGTACATCATATCCGAGAGATCCCCTCTGCATTCGTCCTCTCCCTCGAACTCTCTGTGTCCACCCCATCACCGGCCATTATCCCGCGTCGTTACGTTCGTTTCCTCGCCCGAAAATCGTCGGAAGTCGATGGTCAGCCGCGGTCTTCTAAGGACGCGAGTACGAGAACCTCGAGCTTGCACTCGGTTCGATCTTCCGTGAGTCGAAAATCGCTACAGAAACGCGCGTCTCTCTCGCTACAGTTGCACCGGAGATCGCGCCCTTCGTGCTCAGTGAAAAGCCGGCGAATTGGGGAGAGACCGTCACCGCAACGTGCACCGTGTTGAAGGGGGATCAGCCGATACTGATCGAGTGGGCGCTCAACGGCGAGCCGATCTCGCACGATTTCTCTGACATTACGATCGGCACCAGCAAACGCGTCAGCCTGCTAACGATCGACGCCGTTACGGCTAGCCACGCCGGGGAGTACACTTGCGTGGCCAGTAACGCCGCTGGTGGGACGAGTTATTCCGCTTCCTTAGCCGTCAATGGTACAATATACGACGTTCTTCGAACCTTTTGTTCATTCCCCGGTGCATGTGCGAGCGATCCTTCTCACGTAGCTTGACCGTCCAACACCACTCATACTCATCTCCAAGCGGTCCCGTTACTCCACGTTCCCTCGCTTTCTCAGATTTCAATGGAGAAGCGACAGGCTGGCCTGATGATGCCGCAGGATCGATTCATGATACGTTAGATCCCACTGCCCAGGCCAGGGAATTAACCGTTGGAGTGTTACCGGCTCGGTACCGATTTTTAGCGAACGGTGTTAGGTGCCAATACCGATTTAATAGAATACTGGAGTGACAGCAATGACGGCCGGGATTCAAAAGACAGCGATACCGTAAGGACACAACGGGAGGAATCGAAAATATAGGAAATTAGGAACACGAATAAGGAATTAGGATTAGAAACACTATTGGAACTCAATGTATCTCCCTCTTTCCTATTTAAGACATCGACATCGTAGCGTGAAATCCGATCTCCGATAGTGAATTAGCGCCTCGCCAGTTTCCAGTACTGGCCGAATGTGTGCGACTCCTGCGGAAGGGTGAATTCGAGAAACCTTAGGCCCACTGTTTACCACGAGTTCCGTTGAACTCACATTGGAGATAACTTCGGACGATTCGCGAAGATCGAGGAATCGCGTTCGCGAAGTCCCGCCGAAGGTATCCGACCGAACGGTAGAACGGAGCTGTAATTGAGATACCACGTCCGTAGTTGCCCCCGAGATAATGCCGTTCGTAATCGGCGAGGAACCGGCGAATTGGGGCGATACCATCACCGTGACTTGCACGGTGCTGAAGGGCGACCACCCGATCCAGATCGAGTGGGCACTGAACGGCGAGCCGATTTCTCGGGATCATCCCGACATTACGATAGTCGGTACCAGCAAGCGCGTCAGCCTGCTGACGATCGATGCCGTGACGGCGCGCCACGCCGGGGAATATACCTGCACGGCCAGCAACGTTGCCGGTGGGACGAGTTATTCCGCATCACTGGCCGTGAACGGTACAGCGTCTTCCCACGTCTTCTGTTTCGCGTAGCTTCTCTCACACCCTGCATGCGCGGTTTATCACTCCCACGATAACATCCCTCGATCCCTTTCTCTCGCGGAAAACGCGGAAAGAGTAGCGCCGAGTGTCTCGTCGGCATTCGTACCCTTCGATTTTAGCGGCAGCGGGGGTGAGATCGTCACGACATACCCTGTCGACGAAAGAATCGTTTCTACGAGCAGGCCCGCGAGATTTGCGAGATACCGAGAACAGATGTCCGATGTGTTCATCGTGTCGATCCTCCTGCAAGCCTACTCCACGGCTTTTAACGACATTGTCGTTTAATATTACGTTGCGTTGCGCAAGGTGTAACGTATCGTAGAAGAGCTGCGCATCAACGATTACGACATCGCCGTTAAAAGTTACAGAATTAGAGCTCCTGGTCCCTCGTTGCCGTCGTTTCGTTCTTTGATGACGTCAGAAGCGAGAAACTGCGTGTCTGAAATTATTGCGAATTGTGCTGAGATATATTTGTAAAATGATACTTGTAATCGAGCTTGCGCTCGCGTTCACAAAGTGTGATTTTATGAGTATATCCTTTCACTTTTGGAAACATGGATATAAATATAGAAGTGCAATTGAGTTCGACGTATCGAAAGTCCGCCGTTTTTTTTGCACGTTGATACTTGCAGCAAGCGAGTAAGCGAGTGAAAGGTGGAAGATGAACCCAATGAACGTCAGCTAACAGTAACGCAACATCAGTGTTATAATTTCCCGCTCGACAATGTGAATGCAATATAACGCGTGTGTTGTGTAATAGTAAGTAATAGTTACATTGTCAGATAGGAAATTGTAACATTGACGTTTCATTACTGTTATTCGGCGTTCACTGGGAATAAGGGAGAAAGATTAGGACGCAGGAAGTTAATCTCAATAGTAAGCCTAAATAAGAATGCTCTCCCTATAAATTGTAACTACTCGTTATAATATACATCAAAACAAGGTTTTGTTGACTCACGATATAATAAAATTATCTAACACAAATATTACAACTCACTGGTACATCGTGTGCTTTCAGTCGAGGTCGAAAGAAAATAACGTTTAAATCACGCGATTCAGACAGTCAATCGAAACTGACTTTCTCCATTGCGCTTCTTTATACATATCTGACTTCCACTCTGATTTCAACGTGTTCCGCAAGAATTTTGGACATATGTTTCCGTTGCCTCGGATGTTATCAATCAAGACGGTCACGCCGGGGAAACGGGAGGCCCGGATTTACGTAGAATTCGGCTCTGCGGAATTCGATTAATCGTAATATTACAGTTGTGCCGCACATGTAGAGCCTTTCATTACACCCCTCAAGCCCGTTTTCTCGCTCAGAAATACGGAGGGAATGGCAGTCTGTGCCTCGTCGACGAAATGACATTCTGCTCTGTGGGAACGATCGTCGGGAGGCGCGTCGTCGGCAGAAAAAAGCCGATTGTTAATTTACCTATAATTAGACTCTATGGAATTCAGCTTAACCGTATGTTATCATGATACGTTGTAGTTGCGCCGCATATAGGGCCTTTCGCGATCAGTGACGGGCCGGCGAATTGGGGTGACATGGTATCGGCGACGTGTTCCATCGTGAAGGGCGACTTTCCGGTCACGATCGTGTGGAAGTTTAACGGTAGAACGATTAGCTCGGGCGATACCGATATCGTAATCACGAAGATAAACCGGCACATGAGCGCCCTCAGCATCGAATCGGTGGCCGCGCGGCATGCGGGCGAGTATACGTGCGTAGCTACGAACCGGGCCGGCGACGTCAGCCATTCGACCACTCTCGCCGTCAACGGTACCTATCTACATACCTCCATCAGCAGCAGCAGCAGCACACCTGCACGCCGTATACTGAAACCGCCGTAACAGCACCTGCTATCTATCTAACCCGCCACCTGCGACTTGCAATTCAATCATCAGATTCTCTCCCCCCCCTCCCTCATCATCGCATTATCTCTCACGAAACATGCATACGACCCTTCTGCCGATCCCAATCGCCGCAATCACTCCCGATCGACCGTGACCGAGGACGCCGTGCGAAGAATCACGCGATCGGGGATCTCACACGTAGTAGAATTGATCGAAACCGTCGTCGTCGGCCCTCTCTCTCTCTGACGCGCGATCCGCCCGCAGTTGCTCCGCAGATCTTCCCGTTTACGTTCGGCGACGAGCCGGTTAACTCGGGCGAGGCGATCTCCGCGACCTGCTCCATTCAGAAGGGCGACTTCCCGATGGACATCGCCTGGGCGTTCGACGGTGTGCCGATAACCATCGAGAGCACCGATCGGTTCTCTATCACGAAGCAGAAACGTCTGAGCGTCCTGTCGATCGATGCTGTCGCGGCCAGACACGCCGGCGAGTACACTTGCACCGCGTCGAACAAAGCCGGGGCCTCCAGCCATACGGCCGCTCTCGCCGTGAACGGTAACACGCGCGCATGTATGCGACCAGCTCGCGTAGAAGACGTCCCTCTCTCTCGAGACTCTGTTCTTTATCTTCTCCCAGACGGAAGAAACAAAACGCTCCCTCCTTTTCAAGATCTCCTTCAACCACCCTCACCCGCGCATCCTCATTCGATCTCTTTTCAACATTCCCCGGGCCTTCGTTGAATGCGGGGGACGATGTCGTCTCGGCTTCATTTTGTAGCTCGCTGCCGACCTTATATTCCCCTTCGCACAGACTGACTCGTGTCTCTCGCGAGGAAAATCGCTTATTCGTGTAAGCAGCCAGCGGGCGAGAACGATCGAGCGAATTGCGGCGGCAGAGCGACGATTGCAGGAGCGTGATTCGACGGAACAAAAATAGCAGGACTGCGAGGTAGAACAGCGTGACGGCTCGAGCGAGATGAGGAAGACTGTGAAACAGTAATAGTGTTGTCGGGGACGGAAAATCGGGTCTGGAGATGATATGATGGTTACCATCGCGTGTGTTCTCGTACCAGCATCCCTCGATAGATTTCCCACATCCGTCAGATAACGTTGATGCAGGTGCTCGAATGCTCCGATGAGTTTGTCAAGCGGGCTTGCCTCATGTCTCGGAACGTCGTTTTCAGTCGCCCCGCAGATAGCGCCGTTTTCGATCAGCGACGAGCCCGCGAATTGGGGCGAGGCTGTCTCGGCGGTCTGCACGATCGTGAAGGGCGATCTGCCGATCGACATGTCGTGGGCGCTGAACGGCGAGCCCATCACCAGGGAGAATCACGGGGACGTGTCTATATCGAGCACCGGCAAACGGGTCAGTCTGATGACCATCGAGGCCGTGAGCGCGAGACACGCCGGGGAATACACTTGCACGGCCTCGAACGCCGCCGGAGCGACCAGCTACTCCGCCATCTTGGCTGTGAACGGTACAGCATTGCATGGAGCGACTCGCTGTGCTCGACGCGATAACTCGACACGACGTTACTCCGCTTGCAAGCACGTCTACTTAGACACGACCGTTCTCCTTTCCTCGATTAACCAGTGATAATGCGGCGCCCCTTTAAAACTCCGTCCCGTGAGGTATAATTGGCAACTGATTACGTACGAACGGGGTGTGTACTTAGCGAGGGACCCGACGTGAAAGATTTGTCACTTTGCGGGAAAGTGAATCGTGTCGGAACGAGGTACGTTTACACATATCGTTTATATACGTGGTGTACTGATAATTTTCTGCGATTGTTTCTAGTCGCTCCGCAAATCGCTCCGTTTTCCATCAGCGAAGAACCGGCTAATTGGGGCGAGCAAATCTCCGCTGTGTGTAGCATTTTAAAGGGTGATTTACCGATCGAGATACAGTGGAGCCTCAATGGCGAGCCAATCACGCGTCTCACTCATCCGGACGTGACGATCTCGAACACCGGGAAAAAGACGTCCGTGCTGATCATTGAATCCGTAACCGCCCGCCACGCCGGCGAATATAGCTGCGTCGCGAGCAACCTGGTCGGATCCGTCAGCCGTTCCGCCATTTTATCGGTCAACGGTACTGATAAGCCGCATGCTAAGAGACGTAGTATCACCGCCAGCACTCTTTATTCCGCAAACAGATGTACTTCAGAATCTATCCTTCCCCTACAAATACAGGTCGTTGAACTCACCGGCCGGCGACAAAAAATCGACCCTTGGATGATTTCGTTACCGCGAGAAACCTGCCACATCACCCGTCAATTTTATCCTCCAGTTTTATCCTGTTGCGTCCGCCGGTTGTACCATTTCAGACGAAAATCGTTAACGGAGGAACTGCTCCGCTCGTCATTCCCACGCTTCGTTCTCACTGTGGTAGGATTCCCGTGAATGTCTCCAGGTTAATCCGAGCGGCCGCACGTCGAATTTCGCGACGGTTTTACCCCCGGTTTACCCCCGTCTCGATGCCGGTGCTTTACTTTTGTCGTTCGTGTCGCAGTCTCCCCGCAGATAGCACCGATCTCCTTCGGCGAGGAGCCCGTTAACGCCGGAGACCTCGTGTCGGTGCAGTGTGTGGTGACCAAAGGCGACTCCCCTCTGGAGATCACGTGGACCTTCGACGGCCGTCCCATACAATCTTATCACAGCGACGTGATCGTGTCCGATTCCGGGAAACGCGTCAAACAACTGACCATTGAATCGGTAGCTGCGCGACACGCCGGCGAGTACACCTGCGTAGCCTCGAACGCGGCTGGATCGACCTCCCATTCGGCCACCCTGGACGTGAATGGTGAACACCTCTCTGGACAAGCCTATGCCCTATGCGATTTGCATCTTCCGTTCTAGCCGTCTCTCACGCTGTCCCATCGTCCAGCCGTCCTTGCAACCTCTCCTGCGCGCAAGTCTCTCTCTCTTTCTCGCCCTCATCTTTTTCCCCTCTCAGTCGCATATTTTAGTTCGCCATTTCGTTTGCTTTCGTTCGTTCTCGGAAAGTTTGCGTTTCACTTGCGGAACAGATAGAGAGAGAGAGAGAGAGAGAAAGAGAGACCTGCGTCTCCTCGCTTTTTACATTACTCGTAGCACGACGTGTGTCTGTGTTCTCTAGAGGCCGTCGTCACTTTTTATCCATGCGTCGAACTCACTGGACATATTTCGTTACGTTTCTCTCTCTTACCTCCTTGGTTCGCGCGCTTGTTCGCTCTTTCGACCTCGCGTTCCTCGCGCTTATCGACGTCGCGCTGACGGAAACGTAAGACTCGGGAGATCGCTGGGGACACAACGCGGGAGTGACACATTTTTTTTTCACGCAACAACAACAACTACACAGATCGCAAAGCGGGAGCAAGAGGAAACGGAGGGAAGACGTGTGGCGGACGAGGATACCGAGGGCGTCTTACGGGACGACGCGACTTCTCCCCCCGTTGGGGCTGCAACCTCGACTCTTTCTCCCCCTTTCTGATCTCTGTCTCTTTCTCTTCCAGTCATTCCGAAATTATTGCCATTCTCATTCGGCGAGGAGCCGCTTAACTCGGGTCAGGTAGTAACGGTGCCGTGCGCAGTGGTCGAGGGCGACGCGCCCCTGAAGCTCCGTTGGACCTTAAACGGTCATGCGATCTCGCCGCACTTTGGGATCTCGATCGTCGATCTGGGCGGACGCGGCGCCATACTCAGCATAGGATCCGTCCAGGCGACCCATGCTGGAACGTACACGTGTATCGCGGAAAACCTTGCCGGCAGGCACGAGCTCTCGGCCGATCTCATAGTGAACGGTGCATACCTGACCTCTCCTAACGATCTCTCTGTTCTCGATATTTCGTTCAGCCCTTACGAATCTCTCCCCCTTCCCTGAGCGAACCTCCTCTTCCCCCCTCCCATCCATCCGTCCCAGGCTAATCGCTGCTTGCCCCTTAGTAGACACTCGTTTGAACGTTTTTCCGCTCAAATATCTATTGCGCGCTCTTACGAGGCTATCCTGCGAGGCCAGAGGTGAAATTGTCGCGATTAGACCGCGCACCGGATTTCGCGGAGGATCCGATGATCCGACGGTTAGTTCGTTCTCGCGTGTCTCTCTTTCCTTTGATTGCCTGTTATCTCTAGCATCTGTTTCCGTCTTCTATCTTCCCGGCAGTCGCTCCACATCTGCAGCCGTTCGCGTTCGACGAGGCCAACTCCGGCGATCTGATAATCGTCCATTGCGCGGTCGTGAAGGGGGACACGCCGATTTCGCTCAAGTGGTTGTTCGAGGGCCGCCATTTAGAAGTAGGCGACGGAGTGGGTATCACCGCGTTGGGGGATAGAGTCTCGGCCCTGACGATCCCCGCTGTCAGGGGAGAGCACGCCGGGGAGTATGCATGCGTCGCCGATAATCCAGCGGGCCGTGCTAGGCACAGCGCCCATCTGAAAGTGAACGGTACAGAGAAAACGAACACACGATCACAAGCATCCAGCAAAAAAAAAAAACAAAGCAGGAAAAGGTTGATCAGAAAAAAAAAAAGAGAAATGATACTGTTAATTAACAAAAAGCCGCGGCATGATGATGGTGTTTTGACGGGCGTGCGCGTAGTGAGAGTACACAGCCGTTTTGTATTGCGTGTTACTATTTGAGCGGAAAGCAGTGGTACGTTTTACCCTTTTTATATTCGGTTGTAGTTTTATCACGTATATTACGTACTACATATTACATATATGTATATATACTTGTGTACTTTTATCTATCAAGTAGCGTTCGATATATTAGATCCGTACCCTTGCTGCCGCTTCTACGTCATAACGTCTCCAATCTTGTTCCTGCCCTGACCGTTGCGATGACATTATATGACAGATATGTGTGTGTCTCTCTCTGGAAGTCTGCATTGCTCGACTGTTTCTTTCTATCCACCATAGACAGCTGTCTTCCTTGTTGACTTGAGACCACGTCGTTTAGCTGGTTCGCATAGGCGAGCGTAGTTTGTGCCCACGACTAACTACTTCGTCGCGTGCCCCGGATGTTAGACTCGAGTACTCGAGTACCGCAATCGGTATTACGTATGAGACGTACCATGTCTCCCGCTCTCTTTCCCGGTCCACAAACGGTCTTTCTGTCACGCACACTCTGCCAATCCGCCGCATCCCTTTCTTTCATCTACGGTAGCACGGTAATACAAGTATGTGTACCACCGCTGAGTCCCGGCGACTCCGTCGAAGGGCTCGCTTCTTCGTTACTGCGCGTTCGTTTACTCGGTTCACCGGCCGGGTGTTCATTTGCGAATTATCGCGATCCACGAGCAACGACCGACGACCGGAAGAAAGTGGAGAAAGGCAACGCTAGATTCTCCCGGACGGGGAGAGAACGGCGGAGGTTACCGAGGATGACGAGTCGCACGAACTCGATTGACGATCGGCTCGACGGTCGAGCACGAGTCGTTCGTAGTCGATCGCCAAAGGATCGCGAAGGGATGGATGATCGCGGGGAGAGAGAGAGAGAGAGAGAGAGAGAGAGAGAGAGGATCGTTACGAACATGGATCTACCTACCGTTCCGTTACAGTCCTGCCACGGATCAGTTCGTTCGATTTTGGAGACCGACCGATCTATGCCGGGCAGGCCGCCCAATTGGCGTGCATGGTGCCGGTCGGTGACACCCCGATCGAGATCGCCTGGAGCCACGAGGGCGAAGCGCTGTCGCAGTTCATGGGATACAGCGTCGGGAAACTCGGCCCACGGACGAGTATACTACTGATCGAGCCGGTAACCCCGGAGCATGGCGGACGTTACGCGTGTATCGCTAGTAATCCGTCGGGCAGGGCGGTCCACGAGGCAACCTTACGAGTCCACGGTTAGGCCCAGAGTAAAGAAGCGGAGCACTCTGAGAATGGCACTAATGATAACGATGGTTGAGCGCGTTGAAGTTTCGGAATGATTGAAAAAAAAAAAAGTAAAAAAAAAACAATAAAAAAGCGGCCCCGCGCGCAGGTCCCGCGAGAGTATTTGAGTACAGGCTTTGGATTGGATTATTGCATTTTATTCATCGTTGCTGAAGCTGATCGTGTGTTTATTCCCTGTTGGCGAAAGGCTTTCTGGAATTTCAGTTGTGTTGTTCGGCGCTCGCGCGAATTCGACTTGTCACGCAGCGCGCTGCTTTCGTCTCTCTCTCGCCGGTATATATCGATATATACACGAACTTCTCTCTCGCGCGCGTCCACTGTCTCTTTCACCCCGCTGTCTTGCCACACAACTCTCTTCCCCGCCCGTGCTCTCTGTCTCTCTGTGTACGATCTCTGTATATCTCTCTCTTCCCGCCCCCACGTTTGTACTTCTTCATCACCGCTGTCACTCCCTCCCCTCTCGCCATGCGAAGAACCCGCACGCGGTTTTTGAGAGAGCGGGCGAGCGAACGTTACTACAAAGTTACCGAGTCGAGATGTGCTTCGATGTATCCCGATAAGCTTTCATTTTGCCCGTCTCGTTTACCCCCTTGCTTCGTCGTCGTCAAGCCCTCTCTCTCTCTCTCTCTCTCTCCTCTACTTTTTTTCGTTCGCTTCGACACCGTCGGTACGCGAACGTTGGTGATCGCGTTACCTCGTTCTCCGCATTATCCGCGTTCGCCGCGTTTCTCCGCAGCGCGAGAACCACTTCTGACCGCTGCCTCGCGCGTTCGCAGGATTACGCAGGCTTCACCATACACATACGATGCGAGCTGCGTGTTTCTCGTCTCGTTACGTTCGAGTGTCGATTTATACCTCACCGTACCCCCCCCCCCCCCCCCCCCCCCNCGCTCCCCCCATCGCGCTGTGACACGCGTCCTTGTTCTTTAAGATGACCGACCGACCATCCAACCACATCTCAGAATAGCCCTCGATGAATCTTTTCATCTACATTCCCCCCCTCTGTTGTCCGTGAATGAATTCCCCCAACACGCCGCTCCTCGCCCTCTCACCCTCATCACACGTCTTGCCTTGTTCATTTTGTAGTACGCGTATGTAGCATAGTAGATACTTAATACGCATGGGTTTTCAATTGGACAAGCGTAATCGAGTATCATTCGTAAATAAACGCGGTACAGCATGATAAACCGTGCTCAAGTACTAATTCGATAGCGCTTCCGTGCATGCTTTCGTCGTTATTAGGCTCCTTCCGAGCGAAATCCGTAGCCTCTTTCTGCTTGATTACCTAATCTCTCTCTCTCTCTCTCTCTCTCTCTTTCTCCTCTCGCTCTCTCTCCTTTTTCTCACTCTCTCACCCCTTCTCTCTTGTCTTTCACCCTCTTTTTCCCTCCCTTTCTCTCCCTCTCTCTCTCTCTCTCTCTCTTCCACTCTGTCTTTCTCGCTCTCTCTTTCTTTGCATTCATAAATTAGATACCCGCATAATCATTTCAAAATCCCGCATGCCATATTACACTTTATGCTGCGCAGTAGCGGGAGCGTGTCGCGTTTTGTCCCGCACGCGACAAAACTCACTGACATAATTCGAGTCCCCGTCCGCACATATTTTTCAATGAAATAACGTAATTACCATAGACACAACTTTCTCGGTCAGTAATTTCATCAGCCTGACACGAGGTTCTCACATGTGGGAATTTTTAATTTCCGGAAAACTGAATCGACTCGCATGTGACAGATCTCTAATTGATTATTATTGATCTCTATATTGATATTTTGTATTTCACGTGGAACTTAATAAGAGCGAAAAGACAAAGTTATTATTTACCTCTTTATCGGTATCACGATCACTGATGTGCAATTGAATTAGTTAATTGATTTTACCATTGATAATGGAAAACAATACAACTGATGACGGGATTGTGCGAACTTTCGGAAGCGCGGACGACTCGAATTAGCAGAACGCCTGGCTCCCGGATATTGCAAAATCGCGCGTCGCTCGAAGGTGCATCGCGACTGATCTATTTATTCTGTAACAGTGCCGCCTCGTTGGATCCTCGAGCCTACCGATAAAGCATTTGCACAGGGATCTGACGCACGAGTCGAATGCAAAGCCGACGGATTCCCCAAGCCTCAGGTCACGTGGAAGAGAGCCGCTGGTGAGTTTGCATTTACATACGACCGTGAACCCGACGAATAACAAACTTCTCCATCCGCTCGTGCATTAATTACGTTTTATTCTACCTCGCAGGGGATACGCCGGGAGATTACACTGACTTGAAACTGAGTAACCCTGACATTAGCGTGGAAGATGGCACCCTCTCCATTAATAACATCCAAAAGACGAACGAAGGATATTATCTTTGCGAAGCTGTCAACGGCATTGGATCGGGCCTGTCCGCTGTCATTCTCATCTCGGTTCAAGGTACTTCAACGTTCTCTCATCTCTCGTATTATCGCACAATTCACGACACGTTTCTCACTGATCTCGTCATTTCGTGATGTCTCTCTCTCTCTCTCTCTCTCTCTTTCTCTCTTTCTCCTTCAGCTCCTCCTCAATTTGAGATTAAACTGAGAAACCAGACCGCACGCCGTGGCGAACCAGCTGTTTTGCAATGCGAGGCGCAGGGAGAGAAACCGATCGGCATCCTGTGGAACATGAACAACAAGAGGCTGGACACGAAGAGCGACCCTCGTTACACCATCCGCGAAGAAATCCTGGCCAATGGAGTATTGTCCGACCTGAGCATCAAACGTACCGAGAGAAGCGACTCTGCCTTGTTCACTTGCGTAGCCACGAATGCCTTCGGCAGTGATGACACCAGCATCAACATGATCGTACAAGGTCAGTGTGCTACAGCTTAATCACACTCAGAGAAAGAATGAGCTATAGGAGCTACAATTCAGCTGCCCCTATGAATAATTCTTGATCCGAGTACAGACATGTCAGCAATGCACGTGGATGCTCGACGAAATGTTCGAACTTGCGAGCCGATCTGTGTAATTTTCTATAGAGGTGCCGGAAGTGCCGTATGGTCTCAAAGTCTTGGACAAATCCGGTCGTTCGGTGCAACTGTCGTGGGCCGCGCCTTATGACGGAAACAGCCCTATCAAGCGATACGTCATTGAGTACAAGATCAGCAAGGGTTCCTGGGAAACTGACATCGACAGAGTACTCGTGCCTGGCTCGCAGCAGAACGTGGCTGGAGTGTACAATCTGAGACCAGCAACCACGTACCACCTTCGCATCGTCGCTGAGAACGAAATTGGCACATCCGATCCATCCGACACGGTTACTATCATCACCGCTGAAGAAGTGCCTAGCGGCCCACCAACTTCCGTCAGGGTAGAAGCTCCCGATCAGCATACGCTCAAGGTAATCGCAGCAATTACCGCGTTGCATTTTCCGGATTCAGAACATATACATCACTGAAACATTACACTCGTTACATAACGTGTTATACTTAAGTTATGTTCCTGTTATATCGTTATAGCCAGTAAATAACGGAGCAATATAACAATTTTAAAGTAAGTCATAGATAGAGATTGTAAAAGAAAATAAAGTGTCTCAACATTAGTAACGTATAACAACGATTATATGACGTGTTACTTCTATGTTACGTAACAGTTGTATTCTCTGTTTGCTGGGATTTCTTCCGCATTAATTGATTTGAAACGGATGATAGCGCGCTCACACCACTAATTATCATTATTATGGTCGTCCTACGAAAATAAACAAACGTAAACACCATCAGGTAATATGGAAAGCGCCACCACGTGAGGACTGGAACGGTGAGATTCGCGGATACTACGTTGGACACAGACAATCATCCGACAAGCCCTACATGTTCGAGACCGTTGAGCTCGCCAAGGAAGACGGAAAGGAGCACCACTTGCAGATCACGAACCTCAAGACCTACACGCAGTACAGCGTAGTGATCCAGGCGTTCAACAAGGTCGGCGCCGGACCCCTGAGCGAGGAATGCAAGCAGCACACCGCGGAAGGCGTACCCGAGCAACCACCCCACGACACCACTTGCACGACCCTCACCTCTCAGACTATCCGTGTATCTTGGATGTCGCCACCTCTGAGCGCGGCCAACGGCGTGATCACCGGCTACAAAGTTAGTAAAGACGCGAGTCGAGAAGGATGCGTAAACCCTTTTAGCAGCAGAGTCTTTAAATATTTATTTTAGGTCATCTACGGACCGTCCGACACCTGGTACGATGAAAATACGAAGGACACCAAGATCACGTCTTCGAGCGAGACCATCCTGCACGGCCTGAAGAAGTACACGAATTACAGCATGCAAGTATTGGCCTTCACTTCCGGCGGAGATGGCGTCAAGTCCGCACCCATCCATTGTCAGACCGAACAAGATGGTAATTGAGGAGCTACTTAATTGTGAATAGATACACTCATTTGAATGCGACACATCTTCCGTTCTTTCTTTCAGCGCCCGAGGCTCCGATCGCCATCAAAGCTCTGGTCATGTCCGCGGAATCGATTCTTATCTCATGGCGTCCGCCCAGCCAGCCTAATGGAGTTATCTCTCAATATACCGTTTACACGAAGGCAGACAACGCCGAGGAATCGACCAGCCAGAAAGTACCGCCGAACCAACTTACTCACGAGGCGTCTGGATTGGACAAGCAACGCAGATATGAATTCTGGGTGACTGCCAGCACAAACATCGGCGAAGGTGAAGCTTCCAAAATCGTGACATTGGGACCAAGCGTTCGAGGTAATTAATTGCCCCTCGATTATCTCCTTTTGCCTGCGTTCGATTAAATTCGCAAAATCCGAGTCTGTTCTCACGCGATTGTCCGTTATTCAGTTTGGTACCGTCAATAAATCGATGAATTTTTTGCTATTCAGCACACCAGCCCTGTGACACTCGGACAACTTTTCTATTATGTCCTTTCTTAAGTAAAAAAAAAAGTAATAAATAAACGTGTCTTATCTAGTGTACAGATATTATAGTTTTGTATTAAAAAAATGTAAATTTGAAAAATGTATACAAGTTGACGTAATTATAATTGATTTTTAACGCGTGCTTACAGTACCGGCGAAAATTGCATCGTTCGACGACAAATTCACCGCGACATACAAAGAGGACGTGAAACTGCCTTGCCTTACCGTTGGCGTGCCTGCACCGGAGGTGACATGGAAGGTACGAGGCGCGGTTCTTCAGCCTAGCGACCGATTGAGACAACTGCCCGAGGGATCCCTGTTCATCAAAGAAGTCGACCGCGCGGACGCCGGAGAATATTCTTGCTACGTGGAGAATTCCTTTGGCCACGACACCGTGACTCATCAGCTGGTCGTGCACGGTAGGTGGATGTGAAATTCCGGCTGTCGACTCGAGGTCGTCGTTTATCCCTTTAAAACCCAAGATATTGTTTCATTTGGGAACTTTATTATATTTATACAGATGCTATTTTTCTTTCAAAATTACTGAAATCATCATTTTTTAGAGAAATAAATGAATATCTGGGTTTATATATGAGTCCCGGTATGGCAGACTGCAGTCGGACGACTTTACGTAATATGGCCTTCCAAAACGTTTGCTTAATAAAAAAAGAATCACACATTTTCCCAGAAAAATATATTACAGTATATTAAAAGTATTAAAACCAACGCTTGTATTATGATAACACAAACATTTTTCCCACGATCTTTGCGTAGCCTTTAACCGTCAACTGAGCGATTTAAGCGCTACGTTCACATGAATCTTTTTGTTCTCATTGATGTATCCTACATCCTACACATATCCAGCTTTGTTTTTCTGGAACATTGTAAATACAATGTCTGACTATCGCAAGTGTAGTGTCGTTGGGAGAGCTAAAAAGGATTGTACTGATAGCGACGTTGGGCTTGCAGCTCCACCGCACTCGCCGCAGGTCACCCTCACCGCCACCACCACCAACTCTCTGACGATGAAATTGCGCCCTCATCCCACCGACAATGCGCCGATTCACGGATACACGATCCACTACAAGCCCGAGTTCGGCGACTGGGAGACTGCTCAGATCGGCTCCGCGATACAGAAGTACACCCTCGAGAACCTGTGGTGCGGCTCCCGATACCAGATCTATGTCACGGCTTACAACGGGTAACTTTACCGTGCAGAAGTGCAAGACGAAGCCGCCTTTTACGCATGAAACTTTTTTCCCTCGCAGAATCGGAACCGGCGATCCCTCAGACATACTGAACACGCGTACGAAGGGCTCCAAACCGATTATTCCCGAGGCGGGCAGATTCATCGAGGTCTCCACGAACAGCATCACTCTGCACTTGAGCGCCTGGTCAGACGGCGGCTGCCCCATGTTGTACTTCGTCGTTGAGCACAAAAAGAAGTAAGACGAGAGAGAGAGAGAAAGAGAGAGGGAAGGAAGAAAGAAATTCGCAAACTTTTCGGACAAATCGACGAAATTCGCCACTAACCGTGCGTTTCGCATCCTTGCAGGCATCAGCAGGAGTGGAACCAGGTGTCGAACAATGTCAAACCGGGCGGTAACTTCGTAGTTTTGGATTTGGATCCCGCGAGCTGGTACCACTTGCGCGTTACCGCACACAACAACGCCGGTTTCGCCGTGGCCGAGTACGAATTCGCGACGTTGACTGTGACTGGCGGTGAGTACGTGCGTTAGTCTCAGGCACGCATGGGAACACGAGCAATGAGACGTAAGCAGTGAGCAAATTGACCAAACTACGGTCCAAGGTTACTCTCGCACTGCGAGGAGAAGAGTCGACCGCACTGAGAGATCAATTCGGTCGGATCTACCTGGCAACTGACGATCAAACGTGTTTTGGTCGTCGTTGAAGGAAACGTTGAAGGAAACGAAATTTCTAGTTCATTCTCGTGAGCCGAGTTTGGTTCTCACAACCGGAAATCCCGTTTCCTTTAACCAAAAGGCGCTCAGTCGTCCGTTGCTAGGCAGATCCAACCAGACTGATTTTTCAGTGTGATTTTTCAGTATGATTGGTCAATTTGCTGCTTACGTTTTGCTACTGGCCTTGCGCAGCCGACGCCTCGTAGCCGGTGCCAATGGTGGCTGGATTGAGAGGTTGCCGAAATTTTCTGTTCCAGGCACCATTGCACCGGCCCGCGAGCTACCGGACGTGAACGGTGGCGGCAATGACGAAGACCCGATGAAAATGTTTATGGCCAATTTGAATCTGTTCGTACCGGTCGTAGCGGCCGTACTCGTTATTATCGTTGCCGTAATCGTGATCTGCGTAATGAGGGGCAGTCGGCACAGCGGCGACAAAGGTAATAAGCTTCCGTCCCGCTAATTCGTTTTCTCCTCTCCCGAGCAGGCACGATCGCACCTCCCGTACGTAACGGCGGTAACGACAACACGGACGTGAGGCGTTACTTCCCGTGGTTACCCAGCTGGCTCGACGTAAACGTGGTGGTGCCGGTCGGCGCGACGGTCGTTGTCATAATAGTAGGAATAGTTGTGATTTGCGTCGCGCTCTCGAGGAGAACTCGAGGCCCGGAACAAACACGGCTGCGAGGTATCTCTTCAGCCGACGAGAAATATTACGAGGGACAATGTATACCAATTTTTTTTTATTACTTCAACTCGTTAAGTCGTAGAAAGACGGCGGAGGCTCGTCGGGAAATGAAGCAGCTCTTCACGAGCTTTTCGATCTCGGTCCGTTGGAAAACAGCGAGCGAGGCAGGTATCAGCTGTTGGCTGGTCGATCGGATAAACACACGGGTGTTATCATATAACACTGTATTGTTACGTAATAATGTAATATCGTCGTAATAATTTCCCGACGATCGATCCGCGCGTCGGCCACCCTAGTCTTGTAGTCCTCTCGAACCTATCCCGTATCTCTCGATACATTGTTAGTCGTGTGAATTGCATTTCGCTAGATTAATCGATTTTCATTTCTTCCCTTTACTTCTTTCTATGTAGAACAAATGTATCTTCTCTTATATCTTAAATTATTTATTTCAAAAATCATGATAATCGCGATACAAATTCTTCGAATTTATATTTTTTCCGCACATTCAAAACTATAATATTTGTACGCTGGATAATTTTATAAATATTTAAGAGCGTGTATCGATAAAGTTATTCTCTGGGTGTCACAGACCCAACGTGTCAAACAAAGCAGCAAAAATGTGTGACAAACGGTTAATATGACGAAATCTGAAAAGGAAATTAAGTATTAAGAAACCAGGCTGATCGCTCGATCGACGATCCATCGTGTGAAACTGGTAGATCCAGCCGAGAGTGGTCGTTAATAAATACTCCTTGTCCTGTTTTCTTCTCGTTTCACGCAAGCATGGGTGATGGCATAATAAATGTGATATATCAACAATATGAGATGAACAGAGTACCGAGATACACGCTCGTATTTATTGACTCGTTACTTCAGACGATGTGGTCTATCAGCAAACCGGAGTCGGCGGAGCAACGCTGGACAAACGCAGGTCTGACCTTCGCGACGAGCTGGGATACATCGCGCCGCCCAATCGCAAACTGCCACCTGTGCCCGGCTCTAACTACAACACCTGCGATCGCATCAAGCGAGGTACAGTTATAAGTAAGCCACAACTGCCAACACTTTACCTTTTAGACCAGTTTCAATTACTTGTCTAGTTGTTGTCGCATCGGCACGATAGTTCCTTCTTTCATCCCTTTTCAAGAGACATACGTCGACTCGCACACATATACACGCAACGTTAGGCTTCCGACCAGTGTGTGCCACGTACAGAGTTCCCCAAAGGTGTCACACGGAATCCACCCATGACCACACACACGATCATGGTACACTGAGAGGAGAAATATCAATGATATAAACGATATTTGTTCGATGGGTATCCCCCGATAACATCGATACGCATATCTTCGCACTGGGAGAAAAGTTGTTTAAACGAGAAAATCTTCCCTTAAATCTATAGCTCTCCATGAAAGCAATTGTTTATTCGAATAAAAGAATTTAGATCTAAGTAAATAAGTTTTATTAGTACTCAACGGACAAGTACTTTTTATTTCTTGGATATTCCTTTCCTCAGTGTATACAATATATCTGTGCCAATTTTTTCGTTCGCCTCGCTTCGACATGTTCTTATATACGTTATTGAGATGTATGTCCTCCTCGGAAGAATGTCCCCAGCGGAAGATAACGTTCGTTTTCCGAGATTTGTCTGCGCTTACCCACGTATTCGTTGGTGCCTAACGAGTTGGACACCCGGTTCGCATTTTCGCGAATCCCGCGTGCCGCTGAGATATTGAAAAAGAGAGAGAAAGTACGAACACCCCACACCCCAGAGTCTCGAGTCCTCCAAGAAAGCAGGGTTGTCAGTTGGCGGGTAACGAAGTCTTGATAGGCGCCAGCGAGTCGTACGACCTTTGTAGTATGTGTTCGATAGGTGGAACTGGCTCGTTAAGGAGTCACTCGACGTGGGATCCCAGGCGGCACATGTATGAGGAGTTGAGTCACTACGCGCCCAACAGGAGATGCCCGCCGCCACCACGTATGGGCAGTGCAGACGGTCTCTCGCACAGAGGTTGGTAATAGTCATTTTGGGACGTCCGGCATTCGCCCGGTCGCCTTACGAGATATCGGATAAGCCGGCGACGTTGCTGGGCTCGTCGCTCCTCGTAAGTCCTCCCTCTCTGAGCCTCGTGTCACGCGTCACTCGCGGCACGACTTCTCTCTAGATGTTGCACGTTTTCGCATGCCTGCGCTCATAGCACGCCGATTATTCACACGAACCACTTAAGCGAGAGGGAATTACATTCGTTTTCATCCCCATCATACCTACCGAGACGTCCCCGCGCGCCCGTGCGATCGTCGTATCGATCCGACATTTTTGTCTCGGGCCCAAAATCCACGAAGAAGCACGGACGAATTTTAGGATTAGGATGTTAGAAAAGTAGATCGAATTCACAAAGACCGCGTGATTTTGATCGATAAGACGATCATCGGTGTCGGTGGACTGCGGTCTTATAAATACATTTCTCGAACGCATGATTACCTGTCAGAAACGAGATTTAACTTAGAACGAGAATTGTGAAGAAAGAAGAAACGTCGAAGTGAGTAAAAGGCATCTTCTCGCTCATTTAAATCCGGGTAGAAGTTGCATGTAAAGCCGACAAGTGAAAAGATTGCTTATCATCATTCCCTCTGACTTTATCCTTCACGAAGTCTAAGATCAACAGTCGTCATCAGACGGACGTAACACGCGAGGAACAACCTTTAGAGCAATCTTTATCGTCAAAGAACATCGTGTTTCGTAGAAATCCCGCCCATAGCGACAGGGTCTACCCTGGATAATTGCTCGTTTGCAGGTATGGAGGATGAGATCTGCCCGTACGCTACCTTCCATCTTCTGGGATTCCGCGAGGAAATGGACCCGAGCAAGGCCATGCAGTTCCAGACCTTTCCCCACCCAGGAAACGGCCACTCCGGCACCATGGGACCACCAGTAGGACACCCGACTAACGCCTCCGCTCACAGCCGATCTGGATCTCAATCTATGGTACCTTATATCGCTTTTACGGTAACGCGCGACGATAACCCGTTTACTTTCTCAACCCTGCTGTACGATAGTTTCGCCAACTTGAGAAGATCCTTTCGGGAGTCTTCGAAAATATTTGCACAGACAAGTTTACCCTGCAAACTGATCGCGTTTGAGCTTGAATCTCATCCGCATGTGTCCCGCAGCCTCGTCAGAACGGCCGCTACTCCCGAGTACCGTCCCAAGGAGGTGGCAGCGGCACTCACAACGTCTTCTCGCCTGAATACGACGACCCAGCTAACTGCGCCCCCGAGGAGGACCAATACGGATCACAGTACGGACAATACGGCGCGCCCTACGACCACTATGGATCTCGCGGATCGGTCGGACGTCGTAGCGTAGGCTCGGCCCGCAACATCCCCGTCTCAGGCTCACCGGAACCGCCGCCACCGCCACCGAGGAACCACGATCAGAACAACTCCAGCTTCAACGACAGCAAAGAAAGCAACGAGATTAGCGAGGCCGAGTGCGATCGCGATCAGCTTGTCAACCGCAACTACGGCGGTCAGTAGAAAGATTCGTGACAGATCGGAGAACGAGCAAGAGGGGGGCTACGAAGCCGGGGGGATCTAATCGGATGACGGGAGGCCGAAGGCTCCCCCGTCCTTCCCCACACCGCGGCCACAGACATCTATATAACAAATAGACCGCGAACTATTTCGTCGCGAGCAGAAAACGCTGGAAATTGTATATTACGTCATACGTCGAACGGGGGATGCGTGTTTCTTATTGGTTGAATGTATGTAAGCCCATGTTCATATATACTTGCGCACACAACAATCAAATTACCGAGCAAACGGTAATTTAAAATTATTACTGGCCAAAATTTGTCATAATGTACTTTTCTGTAAGGGATGTGCCTACAGACACACACGTGACATTCAAGCAATTAGACCGCCCCCGCGACATGTATGTCCCGTTTAGACATCTTGTCGTCTCAAAGACGTCTTAGGACGTCTTCACGTTCTCTGGGTATCGTACTGTACAGATGACGCGCAAGATGCATGCATTTCGGCGGGCGAGTTAGCGGTCCAGTGGTCGTGCAGATGTCCGTGGACCCGGCTCATGTGCCTCCTCTCGACGAACAGTCTCGCTCCGATCGCAGCTCATACTACATTGCTCGTTTTACACGCACTAAGCATTAATTAGGCGTACGACGGCCCATTTATGCGGACGTGTCGCATGTGGCGGGCGAGTCGCGAATGGAGAAGACTCGCCGCGGACTATATGTGTTACTTCTGTTTCACCTCTTCCTTTCTTCGTTTTCTTTCTTTCCTATCTTCTTTTCTTTCTCTACTTTCACTTCATTTCACTCCTCCCAACCGTCCGTAGCTTTCCACGAATTGCATGATACGTGTTGTCGTAGTAGTTTAATCGTTGTGTCAATCGTGCCGTGTGTTTTTCTATTTCAGTGAATGCTCGCGGCAAGGACGGCATGACCACCGAGGAGATGCGTAAACTCATTGAGAGGTCAGTAGAGCGCGAGTGAGCTTGGTTAACGGTGAACGGTCTGATAACGGCGTTACACCGTACCCTGCCGCTGTGTCTCGAGCGAATTGATCTTGATCGCGCGAGTGCCGTACCTTTGCCGTGATCGTACCGCGTGATCATCGCGGCGTCCCGCTCTTTTCCGAATTGATCGTCTCTCACGATCGCTCTCAGCGCGTCGGCCGTTCCAATCCGACCGCGATCCGGCTCGTCACTCGTATTCTCCCGGGCAAAGGATCGCGCCCGATCGCGAGTCGGCCCTTCGCGCTGTCCTATTCCCGCGACGCACCCCCGGCTTCTCCCCGGGTGCACTGCGCGATCGAATAGCGTCGGTAAAAAACGGCGAGTGCACGGTGGTTCACTTAAGCGACCCTCCGATATGCGAGCTGCTGTTTTAACGTTCACCTGATCTTTTCTTGTTTCATGACTAATTACGACAGGAAGCCGTAAGTTCGTTAATTAATCATAATCCAAATGAGGATGTTAATAACGTTAAAGACATGCCAAGAGCTTTTGAGATGCGTCCATCACACCATATATTATTGTACTGATTTTCATCATCCCATTGTTGAAGTTCTCGGCTACCTGATTTCTTTTGCGACGACGGCAGAGTAGACGACCCTCCAAAGCGCGTCTTGCTTACCGGACATGACAGAAAAAAAAAAAAAAACGAACAGTCTCCTCAGTTTTCTCCATCGAGAACGCTTGATTAATAATAATATAACATGTGTGTGTGTGTGTTTGCATGTAGCTTCAGTGAATAGCGCAATGTGTAACGTAACCGTGTCAAGTAATCCGGAAGGTAGAATGCGGTAGAGACACGTGAATACGACGCTGACCATATTCCCACCGCAGCTGTGTCGCTACCACTGCCATCGAACCTCGCTACTCACGCCGCTGCTGATGCTACTAACGAGATTGACACGCTTCTATGTACCCGGTCGTCATTATTATATTTTATTCATTCATGCCATAATCATCATTATCATTGTCGTCATCGCTATTTTAGCTGTCGTAGGCATGTTTTCCGACCGGATCGCGTGCAGATCTCCCTCCCGTGTAAAAGCGGCGGTAATCCTGTTGTTTGTGTTACCACGGTGATCTGAGCGATAAGAGAACGGGAACTCGATTGAATTGGAGCCCCGACGAGGAGCCCGATTGCAAAGTTGAAACCGCCAGTGGTCGAGAGGCAGACGTTTTCCGCGCGGGAAAAATCTCTTATTACAGCCAAATAAGATTTCATTCGGCCGAGAAGTATTATTTCCAATAATAGCGTTCCTCCTGCCGTACAACAGAGTTTTCTCGAATGATACGGTAAACTTTTCACCCAGGCAAATAATATTTCGCACCTGTGTGTACGTTGGTTCTACGAAACAAATTTCAGTACGAGTAAACAGAGACACACTAAATCTAAAGAAATCCCTTTTCTCTGCGAAGTGAACAGATCAAGGGTCCGCTAACCAGGGGAGGGTAGGCGAGAAATCTGCACGCGAGCGGGTGTTGTCGCAGTCGCGCGAGGGAGGTGTCAGCCGACACGGTCGATGCCGGGTACCAAAGATGCAAATTCCTGTTGCAGAAACGAAGCTCCCGGCCGGCAAACCGGCGGCTCCCACGGCGGTCACGGGGGACTCCTCACACCCTACGATACTGTGGCAGTGTAACCTGTAAATCATCTTCCGTGGTCTTCCGCCTCTCTCGATAGCCGGCGGCCGTGAAGAGACACCGAGAGACGCGGAAATGAGGCGCACGCTAACTCTTCCCCCGGTGCTGTCGTCGGTCCAATTTGCAACGATTTACGATAGAAACTAGAGAACGTCGTCGCGAGTAGATAGCGATTCCGATTATCACGTAAGGTGTACGCAGGCGTTGATATATCATCTCGAGATCTCGCGATTGCGGACGAGGAGTCCGTGGTCCACCTCGCGAAGTGGGACCGCCTCCTTCGCCTCTCCTGTGCCTCACCGTATCGCTCGATTCACCCGCTTTCTCCCCCCCCCCCCTTCGCTCTCTCGCGTCCTTACCCCTTGTAACTTCCTCGAGCATAATCGTATAATTGTTCATTCATATTCTCGGTCTCCTCGAAAATGCCGGAGTTCGAAACTGCCCTGATTTTTGATATACTTCTTCGAGTCGTTTCAGTCGACCACACGCACACACGCAAACACTCGGGAAGGCCAGACTAAAGACTGCCCGTTTCTACTTAACTGCCCTTTCGCGAAGGAGGCACAGCGACTCGCGAGGTCGGCCACACCTCGTCCGCGTGTCCCGCGAGCTCTGGAACATCTCGCACACGTCCGGGCGGATCGCGCGAGATTCCCTACCCACCGGTCGGTGAGCCTCGAGCGTTTCGACGACCTCGTCTCCCTTCGACGACGAAGCGGTCGCTCGACTCTTACTTACTTGCGCGCGCCGAACGTGTACGCGGGGTAGTTCGAGGCTCGCGACTGCCGCGCGAGGCTGTCCTGTAGGAAGGCGAACACCCGGAAGCCGTGTTCGCGGACGGCCAGGAACGCGGCGGAAACGCAGCCCGCGATGGTGCTCTCGGCGACGGTAACGGTTCAACGGGGGTCTTCTGATGTATATATATATATCAGAATGGATATATATATATCAGGGGTATAATCTTAAGTTACAATCACAGTCACAGAAGTCGTGTAACGTGTTGGAAAAAAAGCAAAAAAAAAACGTAAAAAAGTTACACACGCGTACACGAAATACACACAACGTAACACGTACAATACACGTGAATACACGCATACACACACACACACACACACACACACACACACACGTATACACGTACATACGAGATTAGTTGGTCGCTTTTTAAGTCATGGTTGTGCCACACTGCCGCTCCTCGCGGGCGTACGATATATACATACATACGTACATATACTATATACATATACTGTACGATTTATAATTTCGTAACGAAGGTTGTGTCCCCTCGTCCCCCTACACCCCCTTAACGATCGGCAATCTTGAGTCTCGAGGTCGCGCGGCGAGCGCACCAGGGCACGACATCGTCGTCACTCTTCACCTTCGTTGTCGTCGTCCTTCTCCCGGCGCGATCCTTTTAAACGTGCCACTCCCGGGGCGCTCCCGTGACCGGTAGTAACACGCACGAAACAGCCGATCGACTATCCGTAGGAAGAACAACGCGGCGAGCCATCGAGGGAACGCTTCGATACACGGCAGGCCAGCCAGCCACATTGATACATTAACAAGCAACATTTATATTAACTAGCATGCGCGCGTGCCACGCGCATTACATGCCACACACATTGTCACCACACTTTTTGCTGTCGTCCTATATGATACAAATATTTAGTCCGCTGTACACACCTAATTATCCCCCCGTGCTAATCTCCGATCGATTACGTACCGAATAAGATATATATTCTCACTTCTGATATCGCGACGATGATGATCAAGTTATAAGTGTAAGCGGTTTCGAGTAATGAAAGAAGCTGGATTTAACAGTAGGTAGCTCGTAAGCCGGACGGATGGTCGCGAGAAGGCGCCGTTCGTATCCTCGCGACGAGGCGAGAAGTCGGGACGGTGGAGACGGGCGGGGTGGTAGTTTTCCGCGGAGGAATTACGCGGAGGAACCGTCCGGCCGGCCGATCTTTCCGCCAATTCGATGAACGAACAAACGAGCAGACGCACGAAACGCGGACACTTTCCCAACTCGTAACGCGTCCACACCGGCCCGAAGTCGCGCGACGCCGCGGTCGCGGCGCCGCGTCTCATAGTTCGTTTTTATCACGATACTACTTCTAGATATATATACAAATATAAATATAAATATTATATATATATATTATATATACTAACTAATACACTATACATATACGTTGTAAGTAGCTATTTCTAGGTGTCGCATTTGTTTGCCGAGGCGATGCACGAGCCGGCCTCCAGTTGGGCGACCGGACCCGAAGAAGCATCCTCGGGAAAAAGTGAGAGAGAGATAGAGAGAGAGAGAGAGACGTGCTCTTCGTCATGCGTTTTCAGCCGCAACCGAGCGTGTACGTTTCACTCTTGCGGGCGTGCGCGATGCAATCCGTCGTTGTAACATTCTCGATGCACCCCTGCCGGTATCGCATTCGGAGAGAGCCCGCTTCGTTTTTCGCGATCGTTCATTCCTTGTTATTGCTACCATTAACTCGATTAATCTAATTTATTAAATCTATTTAATCATATCGAATAAAAGCGCGCGCCGGGGAGTACATACAGCCGTTTGATATTAATTTTGATGCATCGCCCTATGTTTGCGCGGCACGTTTGCGAAGTTAATTTAATTTCCGACCGTAATTAGCGCCGGGCGCCGAAATTGGATACCGTTTGTGTTTCTTGACGTCTGAATTACGCGGCTGGCGCGGATTGAAATTAAAGAGCGATGACGGGGCGGAATTTCAAGGGTGCTTTGTCCGAGTGCGAGTCGCCTCCGCTAGCGCGGCAGAGGAATTCCTACCCTCTGCCAGGCGAGAACACAAACTGGCCGCGGCTCGACACGCCGACGCACTTTTACTCATCGATGTGATTTTCAAAGGCTCCGCAGGAAAGCCTCGTGTCTCGTGTATATGTTATATTACGATATCGCGCTCTTCATCGCAATTAATCTGTCGTAGTCTCCCCTCCGAATATCGAGTCCCGAGTATCGACCCCTCGATACGACTCGTAGCACCACCACCAACGTCCCGCTCACCTAACTCGTCCCCATCCCTCCGCTCTTGCGAATCTTTGTCGCTTCGACTCGCTTCCGAAATCTAACCAGAGCTACGTACGGCGCCGGGCCGATAACGACGATGATATTAATGCATTCGTATGAATATATATATATATATATATATAAATATAGTGATGTGATCACGTCCGCGCGCTGCTATTTTGACCGCGGCTCAGCTTTTTTCGTCTTAAGCGAAGTGGACGTCCGCGACGTCGCACAGGTGATAAACGTTATGTTGTGGGCAGCCCAGGGTGTTCGGCAGAAAGGCCCGTGGAGACGAGACGCCGCCGGGCGTCAATCGGTTTTAACTCGGAACCAAGCGGCTAAAGCGCTTACTGGGGTTCCCCGTGAACATCGGCGGGGAACATCGAGCGACATCGAGCGATGCAACTTAAAGACTGCGAATTTACGTCCGTGTCCTTTTTTTCACTTGCTTCTTCGCCGTTTTGCTTTCACTACACGTGGCATCTCACTCCCCCCCCCCCCCTTCGGCGTCTCTCTTTGATCCCTCTCTCCCCCTCACGAACTCGGTGTAATAGTCTGCCGAACGTACTCTTTTTGCCGGACACCCTCGAGCCCCATCGCTCGCTCGTCCCGCTCGCGACGCGTGGTCGACATGTAACTGTGTGTGGTGTATTCTTTGCAGGATTCAATGTTACTTTTTCTTCAAAGACGCTGCGAAGCGCGCTGTCCGCTCGCGTTGTATGCTTGATTGATACGTATATATATATATATGCGTTGAAAGCGTTTGGCTGTTCTTTCCGTACCGACAGCGAACGCGGTTCTTCGAGCTCGCGAGCCACTCCTCACCGTCGCCCCCTGTCAGACTCGAAGCGTTTCCTTCGCATTTCCGCGACCCGGGACAACGGGATCGCCGTATATTGTCGTCTAATGAAAAGGAAAAGAAAGAAAGGAACGAACGGACGAGTGAACGGGAGAAAAAAAAGCGCTCACATCCTCCGCGGAGACTCGAGGATCCGCTCGCAGTGTACTGTTTCCTCAACGCCACTATTTTATGTTTTTGTACCAAAGTTGTAGCGTCTAACTTTGCGTTGAATAAATAAAACTTAAAACGGTCGCACCTCGTTTCACTTCAGCCCTTCGCCCCCTCCCCCCCTCTCCCCCCTCCCGCATCGCCGTTTAATTCGCACGGCAGTGAGAATAATTTATGCCCTCTGCTGCGCGCTTGATTTACACACGGCGCATACGCGCATACATTAATTCGATTTATTTTCAATATATTAATTTAATCCGACCCGGCCGCAGGAATACTAACTAACTGCGATCTAATTTATTTATCGCGATTGAAGTAATATAATTTTGATGCGTTATGAAATTTAAAGCATGCACTTTCCTTCCGTGGAATTATCGGATTCTGCAAAAACTTTCTCTCTCTCATTTCTCTCCCTCTAAATTCCCTCGTTTTTCAAGTGTAATGTAAATTGCAGCGGTCACATCTCTCACTTCTGGAGAATACTTAAGAGAGAGCGAAGTCCACATAAATATATCAGGGCTTTTATATTCGCTCGGATTCTGGCTGCTCAATTATTCAAACAGCGGATAAATTCAGTGCCTCGTATCCAGGTTATCCGGAGAATTTGATATCCGAATAATTAAAGCGTCGGAATCTAAGACTGGTGTTGACAGTCATCCCTGTTGAAAGTGTCCCACGGTGGATTTCCCACGGGAATCCGTAGGCACCCATGTGCATCGACGATGGAATAATATTCAGATAATATTCTCGGAATATCACGCGCTCGTAGGGCGTTCGACCGCGTGTCACGCGTTCCCGCGTGTTGCGTGCGCGAGCGGCGCGGCGCGGCGCGACAGTGCCGAGAAGTCGGTTGGTAGCGACGGTTGTTTACACCATGGCGACCGGCGGTGGTACGTGTCCGTCAATTTCCCTTTTTCCTGTAATCGCGCGTGGTCTGGCCGTCATCCGGCCGGGCCCGGCTCTCGGGATTTCGCTTTGTAATAATCGGCCGTGCGACCTTTTCTTTTCTTTCCGATGACAGATAATGCGACCGAGGAACGAACCGAATCGACGGCTCCAGCTCAACCCATCTCCAATGTTGTGTCCGAGGCAACGCACGTAAGTAAATATATAACCTAAAACATGTCACGCGGCAGCTGGTCGCGCGAGCACCGACACTTCGTCCGGTCGTTCAACACGGAGCGAGTCCGCTGATTAAATACGAGTACGTATGGAGTATACGCGATTACGCGCTTGAAAAGTTAGGTTAGAACGCGTCCCTCGGTGCGGTGCCTGTGTTATCGGTTATTACCTGGCGTCTGCTGACTGAAAACAGCTGACACCAAAATGATCATTCGTTTGCAAGGTTATGCGTGTTCAACTGCGTGAATAGACCGACGCTTTTAAGTTTGAAGCCCGACGTAGGAGTGATGTGGACAAGTGGTGACAAGTTTCATAACAGCACTGAGATCCTATCCAGATTAATACTGTACTTTGTTAGTGGGCGGGATTTCTCTGTATATTTTCAAACTAATGCCCTTACTTCGACATCGCTCAACCGGTCTGATCGATTAATTGAAGCTACAGAAAGCAATCAAATTTAGTGTTCCGTGTGACAAAAGATAAGACACGCATAACGCACAGAGTGTCGTGGATTCTTAACCCTTGCAAGAAAATATAGGGATCATTCCCTCAGAAAGAAACTTTTGTTTATTATAGTATTAAAAACAATATATTCTTGTTTATCGCTCGATATAGTTTGTGTACTCTTTCCTTATTTTAATCAAACGGGAATGCACAGTGATATACTTGGGTCATTCATGATCTCATTTTTCTTTTTATATCTCGCTGCTCCATCTTTCCTCGCAAGGGTCAATTACTATATAAGCATGCCCGCAAGTCTTGTTCGCTGACCTGTAAGCGCTGTATTCTTGTTTTTGACAGAAAGTAGGAATGGATAAGGATGCTGACATCTCCGGCATACCACCGGCACCAAAGAAACCTCGCGTTGAAGTGCAATCCCTCCCAACCAGACAGTATTTGGATCAGACCGTAGTACCGATACTGCTGCAAGCGTTATCCTGCTTAGCCAAGGAGAGGCCTGCCGACCCCATAAGCTTCCTCGCCGGTTACTTGCTGAGAAATAAAAGTCAATACGACAGCGGCGGCTCGCCGCCGACTAGTCAGTGAATGCTTCCCCGTCCGCATACGCGTTTTGTGAAGATCCACGGACGATTACTTCGTAAGAACTCTTCCTTTATCCTCAAGACTATACACGGGAAATTCGGCGTGTGTAATCTCACGTAGGTGTACTATCATGTTGAATAAAATGTATTAGCATTTTGCTAATGTCCTTGTAGCAGGATGATATGTGGTACTCTTCTACGGAATAATATACATTTTAAAGATACTGAAATTATTTTAAATAAATATTATTGCTTTTTAATATGAAGGAAAGAATTGCGATATTCGTACAAGTTGTCCCGATGCGATGATACAGCTGTGAGATCGATAGTCAAATCAAGGTATTGATTGATTGATTCGTGATTACTTCGCGGGCAGGCGCATCGATCTTACATCAGCGTGAAGGTTTAACACGTTAAGTGGCCGTGCGGGCCATCGATGGCCCCCAAATTGGACTTTCCGTTCAGGCTTCGTCATGTATATTTCATGTCATCTCTTATCTTCACAATAATGACTTTTACAATCTTATACATATACGATTATTATATCTTACATAAAGATAAGTGATAAAAATATATAATAAATGCATCAATCGTGGATTATCGGTGGCCTGCGGCGGCGCGAATAGGAAGTCGCGTGAAATTCGCACGGCGCTCAACGTGTCAAGCCTGTGAAGTAAACTTTTCCGTAACGTAGTCGTCCCGAAAGAAGCACACTGTTTCAAGCTTTTGTAAATACACGGCGCACGATGGCGCAATGAGCGAGAAGAAGCGGAAAGGAGGCCTCCCCTCCCCCCCCCCCCC